TAATGTTAAGAGCTTTTAAATAATAAACTGAATTAGTTCTCCAATCCATATCCCTGTGTAACTTGGTGAACCCTTGAGAGTAAACAAGGAATTGCATGACCTGGGAGGAGTCACCTCTTTCAGGTGTTGTTTCTGAAGTCTTAAACTGATCTTAAAATCATGACTTTTATCATAAAATTTAAGCACTTTAGGAAAATTTATTTTACAGTGAAGACAGTTTAGACTCTGTAGTCCCAGACTAAAGCAATCTGAAAACATTAAATCATTATCATGGCAGAAGTTAAGGATTAAAGTGTAGGTGCAACTAGAAGAAAGACATAAAAATAGCCCTTACTTCCCCGGTATATCTCCTTATCTCTGCAAGTCATATCTGTTTACTCTTCTAACAAATAAATTTTTACTGCAGCAGCTTCCACCCTCCAGAGCTAGGACAGACATAGAAAGGCAGGCTGGATTCAGCCATGCATCAGCGACATGTCAACCGAGTTCTAAATGCAGAATCTTCTGTGGACTGAAGCAGAAGTAACAGTTTTGATTTTTCACAGTGAGGCTGACTTTGCAGTTCTGGAAGTCAATAAAAAATTTTTGACTTGTAAACTGAGCAGATTTGGTCTGGAAGTCACTGAGAAAAAAATAAATGTAGTGCTCCCAGCATGTCAGCTTGACAGGGTCACTTTGCTCTTCTGACCACAATTCTACTTTAAAACTAACCTTTCAGCAGCTGCTCAGTTTCAGTCATCAATCCTACAACTGTTGAAAAGCAATAGCAAAAACACCGATTGACTTCAACAGGAACAGGATGAGGCTCTTGATAGCACTTATCTTATAAATCATAGTCTTATGACACACAAAATGATCATAAAAAATCTCAGTGTGATTTAGACAGGCAGAAAATATCCCTGTTGACCCAACTCAGATCACTAGAGACCTACATCCATTTGTTTTCTGTTCAACAAACAGAAGGGTTTATGATATTTTTTTTTTATACACCAAGGCAAGGATATGATAGAAAACAAAACCTACTCTATCTCAGGTGGAATCTGAACATCAGTTTTGTAATAAGGTAGACAATCTCTGACTCTTAACCATATCTAGCAGGCAAGCACAGCCCCCAGCCTAAGGCTGCATTTTATAAGCTGTGATGGGTCTACACTGACCTGCAGGTCTGGGCAATCAGAATCCAAGGCCGTGGGAAGAGCAGTGCAGATGACATTGCTGAGGCCAGTCTGGAACAGAGTCGCATGCCCAGCACAGCCATGCCCAAGCCTGTTCAGCAATGAAGCAGCGAGACCCCCTTTCATATCACTCCTGTAAAGTACTCACAAAATGCCACTCCTGTCTGCCCTCCAAAAGGTGAGGTAGTAGTCTTATGACTCCTGACACATTAAGGTCATGATATGCGGGCTGCAGGGAGCTTGGTTGCTTCCATGAGAACCAAAATGTGATTTATCATTATTTATCAAATCATCATTTATCATTTCCTTGATGAAAAAAATCAGACATGTAAAATTGGAAAGATCAGTTATTTAGGTTACTTTGTGAAAATAAAGAAACTTACAGAAGTAAGTTATGGAAAAGTCAGCGGCTGTACTTTTTCTATCGAACAGGTAATGTTGCATCAACCGTTTCTAAACCTAAGTAATTTCCTAGATGATCCATGGTCCTTTCGGATGAAAATCTGCTTATTGCTAGTGATGCACAATAAGCAATAAATTGCAAGGGAGTGGTCTTGGTTTTCCTCCTGACTTGATAATTTCTGGCAACATCACTGTTGGTTTATCAGGATGCTCAAAGAAAAATGAATGTTCAACTGCAAATGTGTTAGGATGTGCCATCTGTGCTTCGGGGCTACTCCTCACCACCCTCGAAGTTAGCTGACACAGTGTCCTGGTTTCGGCAGGGATAGAGTTAATTTCCTTCCTAGTAGCTGGTACAGTGCTGTGTTTTGGATTTAGGATGAGAACAATGCTGATAACACACTGATGGTTTAGTTGTTGCTACATAGTGCTTACTAGTCAAGGACTTTTCAGTTTCCCATGCTCTACCGACTGAGAAGGCTGGAGGTGCACAAGGAGCTGGGAGGGGGCACAGCCAGGACAGCTGACCCAAACTGGCCAAAGGGACATTCCATATCATGTGACGTCATGCTCAGTATATAAAGCTGGGGGAAGAAGGAGGAAGGGGGGGACGTTTGGAGTGATGGTGTT